ATGACCCTGTGTTTCAGTCTCAATCTGATGTCAAACCACATATGAATGTGTGTGTGAACTGGGTGCAATTATTAAAGCGTTCAGATGACAAAATCAGCTAAATGGATAAGAATTTTAACGTGTTTGTTTATTTATGGTTAAGGGGAAAATGTAGCAAAATATGAAAAGAAAATAAAAGGATTTTTTTTTATTTTCAATAAAAAAAATGCCTCCTCTTGACACTTTAACATAAAAATCACAATTTTAAAACGTCAAATAATGCACTAAATATGACAGTAATATTTGTTTGCATTTTTACTTCTCTGATGACAAACTAAACAAACTTGAATTAAATATGGTTAAAATCTTATTTTTAATCATTTTAACATGTTTTTTGTTCACAAATATTTTTATGGTGAGAAACAGCAAAATATGAGAAGACATTTTTAGAAATAATATTAATAATACTAATAACATGGATTTTTAAAGTATCAAATTAATTCCTGCCTCTGGACACTGGAAACAAAAATCCACATTCTTCAGTTTGAACAATTTTAACATTTTAAAGTTTGCTAGTTCACGACTATTTTAATGGTGAGAAACAGATTAAATGTAGCAAAATACAAAATACCAAGTTCTAAAAATGTAACAAAAAAAGTTTTTAAAGTTTATAAAAAAAAATCTAAAACTAATTCTGGTCTCTGGACACCATTAAAAATAGATATATTTTTAAATGCTTTGTTTTTAACTTTAAATCGAAACAGCTGAATAGCAACGGATGCATCATCTTTATCTTTGTGTCTGTGTTGCAACCCTTCCTCGAGCTGTTTACGACACGAGCGGGACGAGACACGCGCTCCTGTCGTCCTGTGAGCTCTGAGACTGATGAACGACTCGATGGCGACCCCGTGACCCCAGCCGAGACTAAAGAGCGCCGCCCTGCAGGGACTAACCACCTCCATTACCTGAGATCACTAATTACCAGACGAGCGTATGCGAACGGGTCAGTAGCACATCCGCAGAGACGCCCTGAGCCACGGGACTTCAGCTAACGGACTATATTTGACAGACTGGACAGCTGGGTGTCATATGAACCGAATCACATCCGTCCATTCTGTCCCACACCACTCACTTCTCTAAAATAACTAGCAGGCATGCTTAAACACACAGTCATGCCTTGAGAAGAATAACTCAAACAAAGCCTAATCCTCACACGAGAACTAATCCTGAACTCATGCAACTACCGTAACAATGAGCTTCTCGCTAGTAAAACTAGTAAAAAAATGTTTTCACTTCCAGTTATCTGCTGTGACATCACAAAAAAACAACCAAAATTGAAAAACACTCCATGTCACTAGTCACCAGCCCATATGTTTACCCAGACCGCAACATAGTGTCGGCCCAGATCCGGCCCACATCTGGAACATGTACCCTGAGTTTATGCTCACTAGTCCAGTCCATTATAGGAGAACAAAGGTGAACAACTCAACAAACCCAAAGCCTAATCCTCACAGAGAGAACTAATCCTGCATTCATGGCGGTATTACCGTAATTACCCAGAAAGCAACACAGTGTCGGCCCAGATCCGGCCCACATCTGGTACGCTTGGAGTCCACATGTACCGGATCTGGGCCGACACTATATCGCTGTCTGGTTATGAGTTTCCTGCAAGTAAAAACTTGAAAGTTGGAAACACTCTGACGTTTAACTCTCTGCTGTGATATCACAAAAAACAACCAAAGTGGAGCATTTAGCAGCCTGTACATGATACTAGTTACCAACCTACATCTCTAACCACTCACCCTGAGTTTAACCTCTCTAGCCAAGTCTACCCAAGTCATTTAAACTAAAATAACTAGCAGTTTAAACATCCACATCTTTGTTGGACTCGCAATTACAATCCCAGTCAACTATTGCGACATCACAAAAAACAACCGAAATGAAACAGCTAGCAAACACACTGGGCCCTGTTTAAAGCTCATGGTCTAAAGCTCACGGCGCCAGTGCACTCAGGGCGTCCGAATCCACTTCTGCTAGTTTAACGACAGGACAAATGGTCGGCGCTCCCGGCGCATGATCTAAAAGGATAGTCCCTATTCTCTTAATGAGTAATGGGTGTGTTTTGGGCTTAACATGAAATGAACCAGCCGGAGTCTCTTCTCCCATTCCCTTTAAAAGCCAGTAGCGCTTGAATGGTGGATTCACTATTTACATGGCGGGATTTGCAAGCGGAAAGACTGAACGCTTCTCTAGCGAGGAAACGGATCTGCTCATGCGCGAGGTTAAAGCTGTGTGTGTGTGTGTGTGTGTGTGTGTGTGTGTGTGTGTGTGTGTGTGTGTGTGTGTGTGTAATAAGCAGAGTGGACACGCGTTGTGGACCCGCCTATAGGCTCATATTACTAACGCACTCTTTAAATAACAAAAAAAGACTGCGCCATTGACTTTAGACCAGGTTAAATAGACACAGTCTATTTCAGTCGCCTCAAAATAGCACCAATGCGCCTGAACACACTGTTCTCAGACCAGCAGCCTATGGGTGCACAAATGGGCGCAAGTGCATTTGCTATTTAAACAACATTGCGCAGGACGTGAAAATGATAGTGGCGTCGGGCTGAAACTAGCAAAAAACACTTGCCTGGCGCTGCGTTGCATTACTGGTTAATTACTAAGCCCAGATCTTTAACCACTAACTCTCCAGTCCATTCTCTCATGGCATTGTTTGAACTGGTAACTAGACTCGACTTCCTGTGAAACTAGCTCAATGGCTCCAGCTTCATCAGTTGACAGATCGTTAGTTTTCTGCTAGTAAAAACTGCTCACGTCTTTGTTGAACTTGCATTTGCAAGTTGAGAAACATTCTGACTAATCCCAGTTAACTCTTGCGACATCACAAAAAACAACCAAAACGAAACAGTTAGCAAACACTAAACGTTACTAGTTACCAGCCCAGATCTATAACCACTAACTCTGAGTTTATACTCACACCTCCAGTCCATTCTCTCATGCCATTGTTGAACTGTTTCCCAGACAGCAAAACAGTGTCGGCCCAGATCCGGCCCACATCCGGTACAGGAGGATTCCACGCGGCCCAGATGTGGGCCGGATCTGGACCGACACGTATTTGTGATGTTAGCTAATAATCCCAGTTAACATCACAAAAAAACAACCAAAACGAAACAGTTAACGCTACTAGTTACTAGATCTTTAACCACTAACTCTGAGTTTATACTCACACCTCCAGTCCATTCTCTCATGCCCTTGTTGAACTGGTAACTAGACTGAAGTTTCATCAGCTTCATCAGGAGACAGATCTCTTGATACTCACTAGTCCCGTGCAGAGGCTGAAGACGGCGTGGTGTTCGCTGCGGGCGTTGACGTGTCCTCTGAAGAAACAGTGGCGCAGGTCGTCTCCGCGCTTCTCCTCGTCTCCCAGATGGAGCACCGAGTAGGCCGGAGCGATGAATCCCGAATCAGCCGTCAGGTTGAGGTGAAAGGCCTGACCGAACGCCTCGATCCGGTAATGAGCCCTGGAGATCTCAGCGTCGGCGCTACGCCTTCTCCTGCGGTAATGCTGTCGGTGCGGGAACGACTCGCCAAAATCATTCAAGCGCACTGGCGTGACGATCTCATACGACGACAGCTGTCTGATGAAGCTCTCTGAAACACACCACACATCAGTGTTACATCAGATGTTCATGTCAAACCAGGCTATGAAGCTCTTTAAGAAGCTCTTGAAGAACCTTGAGAGTCTGTAGCTCAAACAGTAGAGCGCTGGCGCTTGCAACGCCAAGGTCATGGGTTCGATTCTCAGAGAAAGCAAGAACTGATAAGAATGTTAATGTGTGCCTTGAAATGCAATGCTTTGGACATAAGCGTCTGCCAAATGCTTAATGTAAATAATGTTCTTTACTGGGAACCTAAATGGTTGTTCTATGCTGCGAACCTTTATTGTCAAGAGTGTGTAGTTTGTGGACACTTGAGTGACTCTTCGAATGCGATTCATCAGATCAAGAGTGTTTGAATCAGCTGGTGTTGTGGTGCTTTGAGTGGATGAAGTCAAGTTCACACAGGTGTCCTGACAGAGGAACCACAGGTATAGAGAATCACACTAGCTAACCACAAACAAACACAATACTATTCAAAACTACATCTATTGATATAGCATTTCAATCCTGCAAACTTCTCTCTGTCAGATGTGATGAGATTTAGATTGTGTGTTTGTGTATCTTTCTTTATGATAAACTGCAATTGCTTTTTTTTTTTTTTTATCTAATGCAATGACATTCAGTCATTTTAAATGTGTGTCTAAATACTTTTTTGGGCTACTAAACATTTTAGAGATGCATAATACACTGCATACAGTTTGTAACTGAAGTGTCATTTATAGAGACAATATTTAGAATGCAAAACATACACAATTACACAATATATAACATCATACTAATCTGTTTATATGCACAAAAATACATATTAAAACAAAATTCTTCTTTAATGTCATAGAAACCAGAGCAAACATCTAAAAGTGCTTATATAAGCGATTGTCAAGCTATAGATTAGCCTGACGCGTGTCTGAGCTGGTGTTGTGGTGTGTTTTGTGAGAGTCTTACCTTGTTTGTGGTGGAGTTTGTACGTGTGCGCGGTGCGTAAAAGCGCGGAGAGGTGCCACACAAGTCCCAGCAGCCGGAGCGCAGGACCCCGCATGATTCCCCGGCCTCTGCCTCTCTCTCTCTCTTCGGTTCCCCGGGGCTGGAGCGTGTCTACCGGCTCTCCTCCTTCTGCTGAAACACGATCCGATCCGCCGTCATTCCGTTAAAACACCCGCTCGGACCCGCTCATCTCGCGCACGGACCCGCGGCTCTCAGTCAGTCGGATCGGTGCCAGCGGGCTTTTTTTTTTTCGCTCGCTGGCTCTCCATAGGACACCCCCCTAAACACACACACACACACACACACACACACACACACACACTGAGGCTCTTGTCACGCCCCCCTGCTCTACTGCAGACTCTAGACTCGACCACT